AACTAACAACACTAACAAAAAGACTACGACCCGTCACGTCAATAAAAAAATGATTTGTTTCACACAACCCCCCCCACAGTAATAACAGAGGTGGGGAGGGGGGCGCCGAGGAGCGCGGGGGAGGGGCCGGGGGGTGGGGGGGGGGGGGGGGGGGGGGGGGCTAGAAAAGGCGCTCCGAAACAGGCGAAAGCGGTGCTGATCAAAATACGTTTTGTATTTACTGGTTTTCAATTCAGCTTCAAAGCGTCACAAATGATGGTTCGAACGTGACGTCACGGCGGCCATGTTGCATCAAAAGAACAAAAGCATTTCTCTCCTCAGGGAGCTTCGCTCTAATTTCATGTAAATTCTTCAAGAAATAATTATATTGTATTGTCATCCAACATAGCCGCCTTCTCACGTAGTTTCAAACCAAGAATACATTTGGAACAGAATAAGAGAGTGGACTTATAATCGGCTGTATGTTTTTGTTTGAAGGTAGATGGGCCTATATTTGGGGAGCTTATAAGTAGTAGGGGGTCTTATAAGCGGCAGTTAACGGTATACGATTCTTACTTATGTCTATAGAGGATTCCTTCTGATTGTCCCCTATATTAAATTTCAGTACACTTGCTCCTCTCCCAGCATTTCCTATTCGCAGCACAATCACGTTAACTGCGAGAACTTATTCCTTCGGAAAGAACGTTGTTCTCTAAGGTTTGGTGTTAAAACTTTGTTGCAATCTTCGGGGAAGCTCGTTCGCGTTCGGAAACATTTTCGACTCTCCGAGCCTGCTTCGGCGGCGCCGTCCGTCTCCGTCCTTTCATTTTACTGAGCTCGTCGCCAAAGACATCACCTGTGCGAAGAGCCGAGATCAAGTCGTCAAACTCGCCCCTATTCTCCCCAGGTCCGCTAACTTTTCTGTTATTCTTCTTTTCTGGTACTGAATTGTGGTGAATAAGTTTCTTGGCAGCTGATCTCTGTCGGTCTCGCTCTTTTTGCTGCAAAGTAATCAAAATGGATTTGACTAAGAACGTTTTAAACCTTGCGAGTATTCAGCAAAAATAGCCTCTAACCTTTGAATGTACGTCCCATCTCCAACTGTCAAACATGGTCTGTATTTTATTTACGCGCGTTAAATTTACGTGCGTACGCACGTAAAAATTAAGCGGTAGTGGCAATAGGACAATTGCACGATGACGATATTTGACTAAAACTACCAGAATTCATTTCGGTTTTGCTTTGTTATTTAAATTTGTCAATCCCGCTCAGGGTTAAAGAACAATAGCCTTAATTTGCACAAAAAAACAACAAACTCAAGGATTCTGGTAGTTGTAGTAAAATGACGTCATCGTGCAATTGTCCTATTCACCCTCAAGCTTATTATCTGCATATAAGGGAGCTCCATTTTTTGCAAAGGAAATCAGCGAGCATCGCGCATTTCGACGAGTAGGGTTATTTTTCGTTTCTTGCGGCTTTCTGTAATAGATTTCCTTCATTTTTGTGAATATTTAAAAAATTAACTATAAAACTATTATAAAAACGAGAACTCGCGACTTCAGAAACGCTGAGAGAGCGCGCAGACGTGCGCCCCGCGCTCAGTTACGTCGTTCGCATCGCGCTTGACCAAAAAAGGTTCTTAGGTAAACCAAAATTTTACCTCGGCTAGCGCTTGGGCTTTTCTTTCCTCTTGCTCTTTCTTTTTCTTCATCTCTTCGTTCTGATGTTTCGCCTCCTGTGAACGAAAACAAGGAACATTTGCACGCTTGTTCTACAACTGCTAAGACGAAATCTGAGGGACTTTTTTCATTTTACTTGCCACACCATACAGGAAAATGAATTACAAATAATATAGGATACGTAGAAAAAACAAGTGGCGAAACTATGGGAGCTTATGAGAGGTTAGGCCTCCTCGAACTATGGGCTAGAGCTGTTTACATCAATTGAGCAAAAGACGGTGTAAAGTCTAATATGGAAGATCGGTTTTCATATTTACTTAATAATTCAATCTTTAGCATTTTCTTAAAGGAGGAAAAGGATTGAGAGTTGATGACCTCGTTATCAAATAAAGTTTTCTTACCGCAAAAGAAACCAGGAATGCAGAAAACAGGCCAAAAAATTCGTCTGACTGAAACTGCTTGGGATCCTCTCCAAACATGGATACTGCTTTGGCGTACTAGATAACCGACAGAGAAAACAAGATTAAGGCCCCGTCCATATAAACGCGTTTCCGTTTGAAAACGCATTCATTTCGATGCGTTTAGGCCTTCCGTCCACACTAATACACTGAGCGTTTTCATCGAAAACTTGTTATGTATCTCGCGGTCTCCACACGCGAAAAGGAAAGACGAGGGCAGTGATACATGCAGGAAGACGTCCTCGCCTTTCCCGTCACCTTCGCTTGTCGCGACCATCTAAATCGCTGGAACAAGCTACCCTGTTAGTTATTTTACGGGGTCATGTTACGGCATAGCATCGTAAAAAACAAAACATGTGTCATCCTGGTTAAGAAGCTAACTGGCTATATGACAACTGACCGGTTGACTGACTGACTGACTGACTGACTGACTGACTGACAGACTGACTGACTGGCAGACTGACTGTCTAACAGACTGACTCCACCGCGGACTCAACTAACTGACTGACTGACTCACTAATTGTCAAAATGAATTGTTTATTCAGTGACTAACTTAAAATGAAGATGACCAAGCCAATAACATACTGTTACCTTTTGCTTCATATCCTTCCACGAATCGTCCAGTTCTGACAACGAGAACTGTGCGACTTTCACAAACGACCCAACAGATTCTACAAACTTGTCTCCATGAACGCGTTCCTTTTTCTTATGCTGAAATTCCAGCTCCTTGAAAGCATAGAAATTACTAATTTAGTTCACAGTGAGACGATTAAATTTTCCATGTTATTTCTCATCGTTTTATATGTGTCTGCTTACCTTTTCAACCTCTTTTATTTCTTTCTTGATAGTGCCCGTTTCGGCCTCCAAATCGTTTAAACTAAAACCACAGAAAAAAAGAAGGGTTAGAAGAGAAAAGGGGCAAAAATTCTAAGGAGGGACGCTTAATTCATTATTGTGATGTGCACGCATTACAAGCATGATAGTAGACCTAAGACTGAAATAAATTAAGATGGCGAGATGCCCTTAAAATCAGACGTTCATAAAACACGTCAAGGAAAAAATGTACTCTGCAATCATATAGTATCCTTCGACATAGGTTATACATGGTACCCTCCCCATTCAACCTCACTTTTGGTGTCAAACGACTTCATTAAACTCAAATACATTAATAATTCATAAAGAAATACAAAGGAAATTACTGTTTAATGAGTGTTTGGAAATCAGATGAAAAACTGCTCATTTTTGTATCCTTAATTTCTCCTTCTAAAATCATTTTGTTTGAGAAGTAATATCAAGCGTTCGACAACGTGTTCCATCACCAGATGAAGCATCTCAAAGTTGGTCGAAAATACTCCGCTGCGCGTCGTATTTTCAACTCTCTTCTCGGATGAAACACGACGTCTCATGCTTGATATATTACTTATCGTAGGGAGTAGTGTATCCCTCACTTGACTTTAGCAGCCGATCTGACGTGCGCGAGCTCTTCTTCCAGTTTTAGGACCTCAGGATACTGTAAAAAAGAGGCGAGAAAGGAAATCACTCCCATAATGCCGTAAACCGCCGCTTATAAGCTCCCCTCCCCCTTATAAGCTCCTCGTTATAGACCTATCTACCTGTAAATAAAAAATACACCCCCCGGATATAAGCACCCACTGCATGTTTTCTGTCCATCGTACCCATTGTTAATGTACGGTAAAACGTACAACAAAAACGATCAACTTGATTTGCAACATTGCTGCAAAATGAGTTGAATAGCGGTCTTTCATGTTTTGCCACCCACGAATCAACCTCTCTTGCAACAAACAGGTAGTTGCAGTAACTAGAGAGTAGCCTCTTTTTGCACAAACATCTGTACCTGTTGCGTGTTTTACCGGCCCAAGACAAACTTGTTTTGCAGCAAGTGACGTAACTCCCGTGTATGGCGTGACTACCGCGTAATTTTATCCAATCAGATGTCAGTATTCACGAAACTTGCAACAACCTGATTTGTTGCAAGACACATTTGAACGAGGGTAGTAAAACTCTTCAACTCGTTTTGCCGCAATTTTGCAAGGCAACTTGCGCGTTTTTGTTGCCGCACCCTTGAACTCTTGATGCCATTTGTACATTTTTCTCGTGCCTGACAAGTCAAGCCATGTCCACATCGGCTCGCTTAAGTTCAGTTTAATCGAATATTAAGGTCATAAGAAATAATCAACCAGCGAAAAAGGTCTTCATTTTAAATTCTCCTCACCAATGCCATAAGAAACGAATGGAAAACAGTGTAGAGAATGTTAGGGTTTAAGGTGTTATGCGGTTTACGAATTAGCCGGACTGGATACTGTTTACAAATACATCAGTTTAAAATCGTTCACTCCGTGTGGGCGGGAGCCGTTAAAGCATAAGCTAGGTTATATGCGTTTGCAAGGCGAAACAACGGAGTCGTGTGGACACAGTCATAAGTGGAGTTCACTTGTTAGAAATACGTAAGGATTTTACCTTTCTCTCCAAGACCATAATAAGGTAATGAAGAAGAGTTATTTTCGAATTTGAGCTGGATTTGGTGTCGATTATTCTGTTTAAACTAGCCAGCTTGAAACCTATAAATAAGAGAAAATTATAAAATGAAATTGTTTGTTGATAACGAACGCTGACTACAAAAACCGACAAGATAATCGTACTCGTACACCAATACGTCTGCTTTTTTCACATCACTTTAAACATAGCCGCCACAGACACCAGTTTTCAAAATCTCCTGACTTTCCCCTACAAGGATAGTCTGAAATGTCATGCGTCTCTTCACCCCACTACCACCCTCCTCAACGACGCCAGGGCCTTGCCGCCCGTTGAGAGGGAGGGGAGGGGGGGGGGTAGGGCGAAGAGACGGATGACAATTCAGACTACAAAAAGGAAATTTACCTGACCAATGAAACAAATACATAATGTTAGGCCAGTTTTTCCTTAACGCCGCTCTTTTCATTTTCCGTCCTTTTTTTAAGACGACATAAACTTTTTATCTACCTTTTTCATTAACGGAAACCATTCTTAAGATTATGGCGATGTAATACTCTTCTCCCGACCTTCAGTGGTGTTAAATCTTTGGTGTTATAATTCCAATTTCTCCTGATTTTTGGTAAAACTGCATTTTTTTACTGAAAGAAGTAAATTAGCCACAGTTTTGTCTTACTCTCAAGGGACTTTATTGCTTCCTAACAAGGGCCCAAGATGGGCCCCTGTTTCCTAACCGTTTGCTAACTTGTGGCAACCATGTTAAAACTCAGACAGCTCAAACTCAGAAAAAAACGATAACAGCGGAACATCCGCGCCCGCTCGCGCGATGGACCTTCCGCGAGAAAATTTGGTTATTATGTCAGCGTACGTATGTACCCCCGTACAGACTCTCAGGGAGGGACTAAGTACACTCCGCTAGGGAGGGGAAAGGGGAATCCAAGAAATACAACTTACGTTTGTCTTAAGCGAAATTCAACTTGTTCACTTCGGGCAGCCAATGGAGTTGTTCAAGTGAAAAATCATGAAGTTTCTTTTGTTTGACCTTTAGCTTGGTATACGTACATAAACGGAGGCTCCGCTTTTAGTCCTGGCTAAATCTATATATTATTCTTCTTATACTGAATAACTAAATTCTTACCTGAAGCATTTCCTCTCGCTCCTCGATTCATGTAGTTGCCAAAAGCAAGAACAACTTCAAGCAAAATTCTAAGCCTTTGACTTCTTTGAACTTCTCTAGACGCCTCCAGTACAGCTGCAAAAATAATAAAAAAGAGAACAAAAAACTTTTCACTTTGTAAAACTAAAACTAGCACAAATATATCACTAGCCAACAAAAATTGGCAATGAAAATCATGAAGTAATCAAAAATCAGACATCATTCTGTAGCAACTTATTTCGTAACTTTGGTTGGCGAATTTTTAAAAACGACAACCACATCAGACCACGCTCTGATGTGGTTAAACTGTATCATTTACAAAAACCACCCAGGTGGAAATCAAGTGCATAAACATAAAAATATAAATTTGACGTGGTGGGAGAACAACCCGATACAAACTATATCCAGTTCAGCTGAACAGACTAGAAAGAGTGAAAAAATTCCTAAAGCTTCCTAAAATGACTGGCGTGAAAACAATTGACTTTTCAACCGGAATTTTCGGTTTTTCCATGTTACCTTAAGCCGAAACAAAACGTACGCGTCAAATACAAAGATCTACAAATCCGCTTTAATCTTGCTTAGTGTTTCATACTACCTTTGATCTTTTACTGAAAAGCTGTTCCCGAGTATTCTCTCACTCATTCTACATTGGTTAAAAACCGTATAAATGATCACTGAATCGCATATCTTGTGATATGAATGGTATCTAATGCGCTTGTGCATCAGCTGACACGAAAACATTCCTCAGTACAAACAGAATGAAAAAAAAAAGTGCATACATAAATTTTAAGAACAAACCTTGTACTCGTGGCTTTACTTCACCCATTCTTTCGGGAAATCTTTTCTTATAAAACAGGGACTTAAGTCTCTGCTCGTAATGGACAATTCTAAACAGTAGACAATACAAATGCGTTACAACTGGTCCTTTCAGAAAAATGATAAGGAGTAGCCCCAAAACAGGCAATTCACTCAACCATCCAAATCGTTATTATAAAACGCTACCCAAGACGTCTCTTGTTATATAGCAGGAATATCAAATAGGCTGTTTAAAGAATTGAGAAAAAGATTCGTAAACACCAAACAGCCTTCACAATTGGTGCTCGGGCAAGGTGACCGAGTACGGTACTCACTGGGATGGAAACACACCCACCCCAGAATTCGGGCGCTTAGTAAGGCACCAGGTCCCTGTGTGCAGAAGTGGAGCAAAAGGAGCAAAAATGTACACAGTTTACTTATCGGGCACCCAACGTGTGAACACACCACCATTTTTGCACCGGGACGCGGGCAAAAGTGCCCGGCCACTAAGTGTGAACAGGCCCTTAGAGATTTTTGGTTTAGCTTCCACTTTTTTGCTTTGCAAAATCAGCTTCTAAGAACGCGGCGAATAAGTTTCAGATTTGTTTTATTTTGATATGCACACCGCAGTGGTGACTGAGAGATGAACTGTGTGCATCGTTAAATTTATAATTCTTACCTGGACATATCGTATAAAAACCTATCAGCCCGAGCAAACTGCTCGATATCTTTGTTGTGTGCGTTAAGGAGATTCTTCTCATCTGATGTTGGGACATACTTAAGAAGCTGCAAAGAAGCAAAACATAACAATCGTTAACAAGGGATAATCAAAGTAACCAAACGTTTTTTACTATGCCGCCGCACATTACCCGGGGTACCAGAGGTTTTTTTTCTCGTGCGGCTGGACGCTTCGGTGTCGTCCGCAGGCCGAAGTCACGAGCGGGGAGGCCACGAGAAAAAACCGCGCGCCTTAATATAAATGCTTGATCGAAACCGGAAACCGCGCAACAAAAGTCTTTGGCACCTAGGGTAGGCTAGCCGCATATTCGTTAAAAGAAAATCAGCGCGTGCAGCGGAAGTTTAAAATAACTTGCTCCCGGTCACCACATTAAATGTTGGTTTTGTCTTAAGTAAATGACTGGCTCTCTACTTTGAGTAAAGACAAAAACCTTTTCCCTCTCAACCGAAATTGACTCCTTTGCTCGAGCCCCGAGAGTTAATACCAAGTGCTGACCCTCGCGCATGCTCTGATTGTCTTGTCATGACCGAGCTGACCCGACTGGGCGAGCTAGGAGGGTGTCCCAACCACTGAAAAAGAGTGAAACGTCTAAGCAGGCCACCCTTTTAGCCAAGCCAACGTTTTGTTTCTAATGTAAACGGTTCGCTAAGTTTTGAAGTGACAATTCCACCCGGATCAGGTTTTCTCCATAAAACAGTGGCCTTAGGTCTTTGCTCAAAACCTTTAAATGGTCGTGTATGAAGGGTAAGCTGACCCCGGAAGAGGGAACGACGAGATTAGGAATATTTCAAGTTCTGCGATTCTTTGCGAACGAGGAAGCAAGGTTTCGTAGCAGTACGAAACATAATCATTATACCTGTTCGATCATGTCTTTTGATAGTTCGTCATTTTCATCAACAGAAAGAATAGCTTTGGTTATTTCCTCGTCTGTCATCTTCAACTTGGAAAGCAGGATACCACAGTTCTGAAATAACAAAAATTAGAGCATAACTATTTTTCTGTTTGCAAGAATGGGACAATGTCCACGACTAATCACTACCCTGTAGTGCTAACTAATTATTCTGTACAAGGTGAGACGTTGGCAAGACGTCTTTATTCTATCTCGTGTTCAAAGCTAAAAAGCTCATATTCATTCTAGTTTTCATTATTGATCAAAACAACGTTTCCATATATTTTGAAATACAACTACGTTGTCCACAAAAAGGGGTATGATTTTAGATACCTCAATAAAAGTAATTATCGGAATTTTTATTGGAGTTCAAACCTGAGCACGTCTGCTATCAATCAGTGACAATTCCTTTGGTCTTGAAACACTGTCAGCGCCATCCTTGTTGTCTTTCTACATATATATAAAAATGGTTCTTTGAAAAAAGTGATAAAAAACAAACTCACACTCACTCACTCGCGCATGCTCTGATTGTCTGGCCTCGACCCGAGCGAGCTAGGAGGGTGACCCGCCCATAAAAAAGGGCGTTGAACCGGCTTTCTAGCCGAGCCAACGTTTTGTTTCTAAGGTAAACGGTTCGCCAAGTTTTAAAGTGACGCTTCCATTCGGGACAGGTTTTCTCTATATAAAAAGGGCCTTAAGTCTATGCTCCAAATCTTTAAATATAAGTGCATGAACGGTTAGCTGACCCCGAATGAACGTTGCGAAGGAAGGAAAAGACAAGATGTCAAGTTGTGCACTGCAGATTGGTCTGACCACGGTATCTCGGCTACTGGAGGTTTTCTTAGAGGACTGCTGTATCAATTATTGGCTCACTTTCTTTGAAGGGCAGATTTAGCGCTATGATTATTGGCTGGATTGAAACGCCACTGTTGCTCCTCCCTAACTTTTGTACTACTGACTGAATCTCCAGAATCTCGTGTTCTAGTAGTTCAAGGAGTTGATTGCAAGGCCTATGTGTCACAAGGAACAAAACCCCTTTAAAATATGGAAGGTTCCTTTCGAGGGCGTAGTCATACCTCTTTCCTTTGGTAAGCAGAGAACATTCTGTCGAAGTCTTCAAAATCCATGACTGCATAAACCTGAAATATTCACAAGAACTGCAATTTAGATCAATAAAATGAGAAATTATGAGAGCTCTGAGGCCTGCGAACTTTCAACATTGTAAATATGATTATTGAGCTCAGATTCTTCTCACCTTTGCGTCATCGATGTCTGTCCAAACTGTGCCTTTTATTTTGGACTACAAAAAAAAAAGAATAGCGAATAGTCTCCTCGAATTGATGCAGAGGCATTGTATCGTTAAGTAGGAATAGCTACAAGCCCTAGAGAACTAAGACTTTCATCTAACTTAAGACTTTTCAGATCTGTATATCAAAAAATTTTTTTCTTAAATAAGCAAGAGTATATCTCGACTACATACAGTTTGGTTTTGTGAGGCTGTTTTTCCATACTTACATCAGGTAATTTAGCCCAATTAAAGGACTTTAGTGGCTGAGACGGTTTGGGTGCCTTCCTGTTCGGTTGCTTAGCGAAACCAAAAAGTCCACCATCCGATTTTCCTCCAGGGGGAGGAGGTGGAGGAGGACCACCTGGTGCCCCACCAGGTGGTGGAGGTGGTGGGGGAGCCCCTCCAGGAGGGGGTGGCGGTGGGGGAGGTGCAGGTCCACCAGGGGGAGGGTGAGGTGGTGGAGGAGGAGAGACACCCTGCATCGGCGAGCTTTTAGCTGCTGCAGCAACAGCGCTGGTGAGGTTGGATATTTTAGCGTCATCTGGTATTGATCCTCCAACTCCTTTAAGGATCTCTTGCAGTTTGAGTCTTTCTTGACCTTCCGACTCGATCTGCAATAAGACGATCAACGTTAAAAGGCATGACAGACGTTAGAGGCCTGGGCCCAGTTGCTCGAAGCATGGTTAGCGTTAACCAGCGTTTAATACCTTGACAACGTATTGGTTTTGATACTGCTTAACCAATGGTAAAAGCTAACCATGCTTTGAGCAACTCAGCCCTGAGAGTTAAACGCAGTGTATGCTGCGCAGCAAAAGTCCATGCTCATGCACACAGGCTGCAATTGTTTGTTTTCTGTCCAACATTATCACTAAATAATTTAAAGGAAACACTTCAGTTGGTCAGCTGCACGTTATTGTAGTTTAGCACTGTGCAAAGACCAACACATATGAAGTAACTGCTCTTTGAACAACTCGACCGTCTTTTATAATCTTTGTTTGCAGATTTCGTTTTCATTTTTTTCTTTTATTTTTTAACGAAGGCAAGGAATAAGAATGACTGATTATTAAATTAAATAATCTTTCGATGACGATTCCTTATCGTTCAGTTTTAGTCTGAAATGTGTTTCAGCATCTTGGTTCATAAGGAATCAGAAAAAAGGGCCATTTTTTTTGTCCCTTGATGTACCCACCCTAGAGTTAGCTTCGGTCAGTTTTGCTTCTTGTTCACGGACTTGTCTCATTGCTTCTTCCCTTTCTTGCGATTCTCGTTCAAGTTTCACTGACATCTTATCAAATGCTTCCTTCAACTCTTCCTGTTATAAAAATAACATGAAAAGCACATACTTTCGATACCACCTTAACCAGTGAAGAAAAAAATAACGTCAGTGCATGTATGGACTGTAACTGAAAACAAGCTTCTTGCACAGAGAAAATAATGAAACGAAACCTTTTTTTACTAATAGTAGTTTATTCTGCAACTCACTACCCTATACTAACATACATTTATTGGAATAATTACTATTCCCAAACAGGGAAAACTAAAGAAAAACCTGTATATGCACTTATTACATCTGCATCGTTCTTTATCTTCACCTCGATACTACGCTTACATTTTCCAAATCATTTGAGAAAGAATTTACTCTTGGAACTAAATATTGGGGTTCCCTGTATAGTAAGCCGATGTATCTGATTATTGTCAGCACTACCCTGGGTGCCAGAGGTTTTTCTTGCGTGCGGCAGTAATTTTCGGTGTTGGCCGAAGGCCGAAGCCACGAGCGTCGAAGCCGCGGGAAAAACTTGTCGCGCGGTTCACTATAAAGAATCGACAGAAACCGGAAACCGCGCTAGAAAAGTCTCTGGCACCCAGGGTATGTCAGCACTTACTAATTCTTGTTTCTTGCTCTCCACCTCTCTTTCTCTCTTTTGAAGTTTCATCTTTAGACCTTCAACTGCAAGGGGAAAATATAGCGGTTAAAACTAAATGCCCAATTAATAAAACCTTACAGCACACAACAAATTAACTTACCATCCTCGCCAATTTCTTCCCGGCGAATTTCATCTTCATGGAGTAATCTATGAAAAAAGAAATTAGTTCCAAAACGATTTTGAAAAGTTTGTACGTATAAGGTAACGCTACTAAGAGACTAGGGCCCAGCAGTTCAAGGACCAATTAGTGCTAACCCGGGCTGGAATTTTCATGCAGGCTTCTTTTTCTTTTGCCAAAAAGCATTTTCTCGAATAATTTTCTCTATTCTTTTTTGAGTATCCAATCCCAAATTGTAGACGCCACCGATGGAGTTCCCAGAAAACAAGCACAGAAATTCCATACTGATGACGCGTCACTACCCAGA